TGTTTTATCAAAAAGCAGAACATATTTTCTGAACATTGGCAAAAAATATTCATTGCTCATAAGGAAAATCTTAATTTTTTTTTTTTGCGATTTTTTGTTAACGAAGAGTAATATACTAACAAGAAATAAGTGCTTTTGACGATGGTTCGCATATAAAAAAAATATTTTTTTTTAGAAAAGTATGCAAGCAGTTACAAACTTCTTTAGGTAATGATTACTATGGAAACAAAGGCATTATTGTCTGGATTAATTATACATACGAGTATAATTGTGAACTGCACTTATGGCTACTCATCATTATTTCATATTTTCGGTTCAATAATAGGCAAAAAATACTAAATTTGGTAAAAGAATTTTTTCCCAAAAAAAACCTTATTAAATAGTTAAAATTCTGAAAAATCACTAAACCTTGCCTTTTCTTACCAAACAGCTGCTCATTTTCTCTGAACCGCCGATGTGAGACCATCTTAGTATATAGCTGCCATACATACTGAACGATCAAAATGAAGTCCTTGTAGGGAAACTTTTTTGTTTGAAAAGATATTTTCAAGAGTCTTGGCAGGAAGTATTAGCCAAGGCAACGCTATAATCTCCGAATAAATTTTTCAGATCGGTTTACTATAGCATTTAGCTGCTATACAAACTGACCGATCAAAATCAAATTTTTTTATGGAAACTATTATATTTGTGAAGGGTAATCTAACTCGGTGCAACCGATGTCAACGTTTCATCTTGTGTTTTCATTTCAAATACTTATTGCTTCATTTAAATATTTATGATGTTCTTACATCATTTAACACCCATACTTTAAAAAAATACTAAAAGTTTCAGCGAGTTCAAGGTCATTCAATAAATCGGCGAAAAATGCAAATTCTAGTACAACAAAAAAATCTACAAGTACTTATATAAAAATCTGCTATTGTTAAGAAATATTTAATTTAGAAGCGATTGGAGTCTATATGTCTATATATCAAAGTATACTTTGTAATTTTCATGAAAAATCTAAATTTTAAAAATTTTTAGGCAATGAATCGACACAAAAAAAAACTATTTTACTAGATTGATTATTTAAGTTCATTTATTTTTTGATAAAGCTGTGCTTAAGAGTGTATTTACAGTTTTATTGCTTTCTTTTTTATTTTAATTTTCACTTCGTTGCCATTATTATTGTTTTGGTGTTTTATCTACGAATATTTAGTCTAGTTACAATATTCATAAATATTTCTTTACACATCTTCACTAAAAAAAAGAAACATCGCACACATGTTCCACCAAATCACAGCGTCCTAGCATACCTAGTCAGTCACTTCACCAAAACACACATTTGTACACGCTTTCTACTAGTCGGACTCATTACAGTCGCGTACTTTGACACACATTGAGAAATTTGATTTCAAATTTTAGTTGTATTGCGTTTTTTAGTTGCAAATACATATTTATATACAAACACACAGACACAAGTACGTTTACAGTGGCACATGCATGCACTTCACCTTGACACAATTTTTTTCGATTTGATTTTTTGTTGCCTTTTTTATGAAATTTCGCCATAGGTGCACATATAAAGTACACAAAAAAAGAATTAAAAAATAATCACAAAACGCGCATTGTCACCGCACTGCACAGTGCGCGCTAAAAATAAGCACATGTTTCTAATTTTCAAATTCTTGTTATTTTCGTAGACGAAATTTCGTGCCGCTGCAAATTTTATAGCTTCACTATTGCACTACCAGACACACGCACACACACATAAACATAAGTGCTTTTAAGTGTGTTTGCTTGTAGCGCTAACACGTCTTATTGTAATTTTTGTTGTTTTTTCGGTTTTGGTTGTACTTTGATTTTTTTGGCAACTTGACTCAAGTACCTTGCGGGGCTCTCGCTGGCTGCGTATGAATTGCTGCAATTTGCACTTGTACACATTGTTTTGAAAGTCGAAACGAATTGTTGTAATTTGTAGGTAATTGCAAGCGCAGGAAATGCGGAGGAGCGTGGCTGTGCGAAACACATATGGGCGATGTTGCATTTCTTGTTTGGTTGCTGATTTTATTTTTAGTTGTTCGACCAAATGAATGAAGACGTTGTTTGTAGAAATAAAGGTTGATTTTTCGTGCTTTTAGGTTGTTTTTTCTTGTTTGGTGTGGAAAACACAGATAATATTTGAATTGTTTTATTAAAAGTTAATTATTTTATTTGTTATTTATTTCTTATGCCGTATTTTTTGGTAGATTCGGATATAGTATAGTTATTTATGTATATGTTCACGAGCTCAAGAAAAATTAACTTCATATGACTGATTAACAAACATATGTATATAACTTCGAGATTCTTGAACGAAATTTTACTCAATAATCGTTATAGAAGCAGTAGAGAGCCAGTACTGCTCTCCATCAAGAGTATAGTAGAAAAAAATCTAAACATTTCACAAAAGAAGGGTTGAATAAAACACAGCAGAGATGAAATTCAAACAGAAACTGTTGCTGAAACACAAATATTCGATAAGAAAAAGATTCAAGTGAGGGTTAAAAATTAAGATTTTTGAAATAATTAGTAACTAACTCGACTCAAGAGAAGCTTAAAACCAAGCTTTGTTATTCAGTAGTCCATACAAATATGTAGGAAATATTAATGATAACTTTGTTATTATAGTTATAAGATCGGCAAAACAAATACTTCTATTAAAAGATAGGACAATAACTCAACTCTTCTGGAAAGTTCTATATATTTCACTTGAGCTATAAATGCGTATTAAGTTATAAATATTAGTAGCCCTATCATTCTCCAGTTTTTGTATCAAATATGTTTTTCATTTCATAGCAGTTGCATAGATTTGTGACTTCGGTGAAAAAAATTGTAATTTGATCATGAGCCAAAATACCGGCTATGAAAACATAATACAGTCATGAGCCAAAATACAGACTACAAAAACACAATTGCCATAGAACAGCCTATATTAAAGATGATAATTTTAGACATAGCAAATAAAAAAGAAAAGTCTTGTAAGAGAGGTAGGCGAATCAATTTTTAAAGCAATAATTTTGAAACAAATCATGAGAAAAGTATGCATATGTATAAAAGATATTTTAAAATTTTTATTGAGGTATAAAATGAGGTATAAAATTTTAAAGTCTTTACTTTTGCTTAAATATCATTTGTAAAAATAATTAACTGAAAGATGTACTTCTATTTATGTAATGAAATAAAAATAAAATAAAAAAATTTAATTTAAATAAATATTCACTAAAAAAAAAAAAATCATACACAACAATAAAAAAAAATTACAAAAAAAAATAAAATAAAATTACATTAAAATAAATTAAATGAAACTTAATAATATATAAAAAAATTATATTAAAATCAATACAATTAAATTAAATAAAAAAATACAATAAAATAAAATAGAAATAAAATAAAATAGAAATAAAATAAAAGAAAAAAAATTAAATAAAAAATAAAAATAAAATAATATATATTTTAAATTATCAAAAATAAAATATGATAAAACATAATAAGACAAAAATAAAAAAATACTAGAAATAAAAAGAAACTAAAAACTTAAACAAATAAGCACAAAGCCTAAAAACTTTTTTATGAATCGTATATGAGTTAAAGAACTGAGCATATCTCGATAATGAGATTTTTGTTTACAATTTTAACATTTGGTGGATGTAGGCAAAATAGTGTCAGTTTTTGAGATATCGATTTGAAATTTGGCATACGTCCTTTCCCCCGCCAAGAAGCTGCTCATTTATCGGAACCGTCGATATTGGAACATTTTTGTATGGAAAACTTTTTCATGTGACAAGATACATATATTCACAAAATTTGGCGTGTCATTATAGCATACAATTAGCTGCTATAAAAACTGACCATTCAAAAACTTGTAATCTTTTGAATTTGTGAAGAGGGTATTATAACATAGCTTCGGAGCGGCCGAAGTAAACGGTTTTTTCGTAATTTTCTAAAAAATTGTTTATTTTTAATTTACTAAAAATTTGTTTATTTTTATATATTTCATTTTGTATTGCATTTTTTCTGTGTTTAAAAATAAAAAATTTTTTGAAAACTTTTTTAAATACCTATGTGTAGCTTTTTTGCGCTTGTTTTTATATTGCACTTCTATTATGATCTATAATATTATGTATAAGGACAATGCAGGTAATGCAGTTTTCAAAAAATTATATCATGTCATTAATTTCTTACTATTATGTTATATTTATTTTATTTCGAAGCTCTTGAAATTTGCTGTACTTAAATAATTTTTTTTGTGTTTTTTTATTTTGTTGCTGTTATATTGCTTGCATTCGAAGTCACTTGTCAGCCTTGTGCCTGGCCGCTTGCTTAGTAATCAACTTCGATTTTCGCATTTTACATAACCAGCCAGCGCCTGCATATCACTCCAATGCGCTGCGCTACTAATACAAGCCAATAAAAGTAGCTCACACTACAGTTTTGTTGGCACAATGCGCCTTGCGTTTTGTCGAGCTGACTCAATTTCCATGAATTGACATTGCCAAGTCGCGTAACGACACAAGGAAGAGAGTTGCTTGTAGTTTTCAAATATATCTTTATAAAAATCACTTTTTTTTTAAACTTAAGTTAAGTTTTTGAAAAGCAACTTTATGAATAGTGTTTTTCTTTTCTTGGGTAAATTATTTACTTTGTGTTTTCGGAGTACGATTTTCATTATAGATTTTAAATATTTCTTCTCGAAATAAATTTTGCAACATTTTTTGTTTCATATTTCTTCAGAAAATATATTTTTGTTTTGCTTTTTCACTTCTTTCATTCATGCATTTCTTCATGCCAGAACAACCTTAGTGTGTTTCTGCAGTTATTACAAAATCACAAAATTTAATGCTTCTTCACATCATATAGTATATAGTATTCAAAAAAGTTTTATAACGCTGCAACAACTTCCAACCAACTTCATTTTAAAACCATAATTATATTCACTTATTTGTCAACGAAGAAAGAATTTGCACTAAAAAATAATTTACCTATTTTTTATATATTTATTTTTAATAAATATTTTCAGCTCTTGAGGCGTATCTAGTATAGGCGCCTGCTTTCTGCTTGTCTGCCTCAGAGCTATTCGTATATTTCACTTTGTTGCCTTGGCCGCCGCCGTTGCTAACAAAATTATTTCACACGCAAACACACACACACGCTTTCTTGGCCGATATTTTTGTTTCAAATATAATATATATATTATTTATTATTCAAATATATATATATATATATATACATATTTGTATACATTAACTAACTATTTGACTATTTGGTGTATTGTGACACGCGCTATTCACTGTGTACCGTTTCAGTCAGTGCTGTTAAATTGCAAACCCGTCTCGAACTGAACACTCAAATGACAGAATATTCTTTTTCATGCACTAAACACCGCCGTCGTCGCAGCCAAAACGAAGATGACGACAGTTTCGTCGATGACAGCGACGAGGCGCGACGACGATTCGCCAACAAACATCAGTTGGCAAATTTGATTTCGTGACTTCCATCTGCTCTGCGAGCTTTTTCGGACTACGAAAATTTGAAAATTTCAACCGTTAGCCGTACAGGGGGCGGCAAAAAGCTGCTTTGAAAACTATGCGTCATCCGCAGTTGCTGTGCTAGCTAGCTGTGCGCGGTCGAACGTGTGGTATGTGGAACTTTTTAATGCAACAAATGCGACAGGCAGTCAGGAGCATGAAAGCTACGTGGAGGTATGAGTGTTGTTGCGAGAGAGCGAGTGTAATTTTTAAGTTTCAGAGTGTGCGCTGCTTTGATTGACTCGGCATATTCGCATGGCACGCATGTTGCGCGAGCACAACAAACGGCCGATAAATGTGGCATAGCGCGAATGCGAAAATGGAAATGTCAACAAATCGTTTTATTTTGGTTTTATTTGTTAGAACGGACGAATGTCGCGGTTAAGGGTAATGCTTGAAAACGCCGGTGTTAATTTGTCTAGAGCGGCGGTGTCTTTAAAAATGTTATGCGTTGCATTATGGAAATATAAATATAAATATAAATATAAATATAAATATAAATATAAATATGATGATTGATTTCGATCGATCAGTTTGTGTGGCAGCTATATGCTAAAATGGTCCGATCTGAACAATGTTTTCGAAGATTAAACCGTTGATTTGGTAATATTCCTTGCCAAATTTCATAAAGATAGCTTGACAAATACAAAAGTTTTCTGTACAGGAAATTGAGCTTAATCGTTTCTTTTGTATAGCAGCTATATGCTTAGTAATCCCATTTGAACCATTTCTTAGAAGATTGTAGCGATGTCTCGGGTAATAGTATGCGCCAAATTTTTTTAAAACATCTCGTTAAATAAAAAAGCAGTTCATACAGACCCTTGATATTGATATCTCAAAAAGTAAGCGACTATTTCGAGTATATACAGTAATACAGACCAATATAGCTAACATAAATCGACTCAGCTCGCCTCATTGTTCATTTATACATAAACTTTGTAGGGTCTCCGACATTTCCTTCTGTATTTTCAAACTACGTGCCAAACTTAATATACGCTGTTCAGGGTATAAAAAGCAAGTATCATGTGTAATATAATAACAAGCTAATCGGCAAATATCGAAGAATAAAAGCTCTGTACAATACTTAGGAAAATATTATATAAATTTAAAAATACAATTTTATTTATCAGTCGTTCTCTTGGTTTAGCCTACTTTACAAATATATACCCCTAATTGTTTTCCTTTTTGTCTCGCTGTAAATTCTTTCGTGTTTTTAGTATCAACATTCTGCACTCAGCAACTGTCAAAAAATTGTTTCGGAGGCAAGTTTGTGTATATTCGTTGTGCGCTACTTTTACTCATCAGCTGTCAGTCACTGCCAGACAGCTGTTTGTCTGAAATGTTAAAAAAATTTACCCACTAACTTATTTAACCTGCTATTAAATAAAATTATTTAAATTTTATGAGGTATTATTTATTGTTCCCGTTTATATTTCAATTTTAAGCAACAAGTGATACATTTGCTGTTAATTTTTTTTGATGTACTAATAAATTATAATCTCTACCTGCATTTGATATAGTACTAAAATAGTAACTGGTACCCAACTGGTAAGAAGTAATCCACTATGCACTAGTTAACGACTAGAAGGCAAACAAATAAATAATTAAAACGCCATTTTTAATATTTGTAATTATTTTTATTTATAATTAGACTTCTCTTATCCACCTCATTTAATCATTATTCAATATCAATTAATATGTATCAATATTAGTATTATTATTAATATTATTATTTGTGTCACATTTCGCAAACAATATGAATATTTTGTAATTTGCTTTAACCTAATAACAAATATGCCTTACGAAATATAATAGTAAGTACTTACACACATACAAAATATCATTGGTACTGTTGCAAGTAAAACAAATACAAACATAATTGAAATACTTAGAAACCGGAGTGAGCTTAGAAAATACGCAAAATCAACATTAATTACACAGCACAATGCTATTACTTCCAACCATTACCACACAATGCAATTTTGGTTAGTAATTGTAAAAGTAATCATTACAGTAATTAAGCATTACTATAAGTTAATGATTACTTATAGTACCATTACCATAATTAGCATACTTTTTTGTAATCATTTCATAATAAAGCCATTAAATAATTTCCATTTTGTTTTTACCGTCTACAATACTTTCTTTAATCATCTGTTTTGCGTGTTGTAATTATATTTTGTATTGTAATTAATTAATACTTTGTATGAGACGTCATTATATCGTTCAATTATAATAAATAATACATTACATGCTTAGCACTCAAGTAATGTTTCTATGTGCTACTTTCACTGGGGTTACTATATGCTGTTATTAGGAAGCAGTCAACTAACTGCTTGCGTTGAATATACTACATAATATAGTTTTCTTAAGGGCGGGAACAGCATTGAGGGGTGCATTAGTATATAAAAAGTTTTTTTTTTTTGTATTTTTAAGATACCTACATAGTAAAATCAAAGTCGTAAACTATATATAATGCAAAAAAATATTTATTTAGTGGGTGAGTCCCTTAAAAAGTATGGCTTAATTCAGCAAAGAGCTAAAATTGTTTTACATACGTTTCAGACAGCACTTAATTTATCAATCACCGAATTTTCTACACAAATATGTATATGAAAAAATGTTAATTGGTAAAGTTAAGGTTTGTTCGAAGTGCTTATATATAGGTAATTCTTCAAATGTATTTTTGAACTGGACTGATTTATGTTGGCCTACGAAGAATTGCATCTCTTGACAACTTAGATCGGTGTGTCGCAGAGTTTATTGCTAATAGCTTTTCCTCTGCTCACATATAAACGAAGAATATGTATGGGCTGAAGCCGCTGGAGAAAAGTAGCATTGAGCTTTTTCACGTGTGAGTCGAAACGTAGAAGGAAGGTTGGAGGGAGAGTTTTTTTTAAGTAGATCTTTCTCTAAAGTAGGTTTTACGCTACCGGATTAATCTAGCATTTTTCAAGTTGAGGTGTCTGTCATATTTAGGTAGCAGTAGATGTATTGTTCCGAAGTGCAGTCTCTTACTGAGCAGTGAACATTCACTCGGTCAGCAGAGCGGCAAAAATAGCTTTGAGCTCGCTCACTATGCGTTCACAACTATGTTAGTTAAAAAGTACATGTCCTTACTATCAGTAGCATCAAACTACTTTATTATCAAACTCTTCTGGGTGTCTAGTCACAGCGGAATTGCTGGAAACTGCAAAGCTGATTAGATTAAGAGAGAGGGCACCCATTTTATGCTCACAACGGTGTGAAAACGAGCAATCTTGCAAGTTTATTGGCCGTATAAATTATTTATATACCAAATTTTACTTAGTTTACTATTGAAGAGTAGCAAGTATTTATCCATTAATCGCTCATTTACTGACAATGTCAAAAAAACTCTTATATCCCTATAATGTGCACAAAATTTTGAATAGCAGATCTATACCAGCATATATCAAACTGAGATTTATTATTACACTGTAAGAATCTGAAGTATTTCTTGCGCAAAGTGGGAAGTACCGAAATATGCCGTAGGCTTGAAGATCTAATTTTATTTCAGACTTAAATATTTCAAAGTTTTTCAGTTCATTCTGTTCTGCTTATACCCTCCGAGCTGCCTATAACTTTTTGGTTTCTGCTAATATCGCACGCTTTCAAGCCACGAACCTCACCGCACCAAAGCAAAGCGTTTCAATTATTTTATAAATTCTCTGTAGACTAGCAAACGATAACAATTAGTACAATTTCAATTTATAAATAGCTATATATACATATAAATGTGTGTATATATATATATATAATAATAATAATTATATGAGTTTAGACTAAAGGTTTCGGATAAGCTATAACAATGCAATGCTTGATTATGCTGATAATAATGATTGTGTATAATGATTGACAATGACAATGACATTAGCGTAGATGATGATGATAATGAATAAATGGCAATGCTGATATTTCATTATTTGTTTTAATAATTATTATTATATTTTGTTTTTTAATTGTATGCATGATTCGCGTTTGTATATGTATGAATGCATTTATGTATATGGTTATGCTTGTATGTGTATAATTAAATATATATCTTTTATGTATTACAATTTTTATTAGTTGTACGATTGGTTTGCTATATATTATGTATGTATATTTCATATATAAGTAAATATTCTTTAGATGATTTTTTTATTGTTTAATGTTTAATTTTTGGTATAAAGCATAAGATGTGGTCTTTTTTTTGGGTAGCGTTTAGAATGCGGTGAGAGAGAGTTAGTGGAAATTTGTAGCTTTAATACAACAATTTGGTGGCAATTTTCGCAATAACCAAATATTAGTAGAGACGTTAGAAATATAATTTTGTTTTTTGAATTCACAAGGTATATATATTTTTTGTTCATATTATATAATACAATTAAATTTGAATTTTATTTTGTATGTTTGTATGCAAATATGTGGTTATGTATAGTCGTTTACAAAATTACACGTATACCAAAATAAAGTGCCAAATTTGCGTACCAAGAATATATATCAAATTTTGCAATTTTTTTTCAATAATTAGTAATAAATATTTCTAGTAATAGTATCTATGTATTTGTATGTTAAATGAATTAAACTATGCTTAAGCGTTAATACTGTACAGTTTAGCTGAATTTTTTTTTTAATTTTTATTCCTTTTTTTGTATGTTTTTACATTACAAAACTTTTACAACAAATTTTACGCTTTCATATACAATACAAATTTACTCTCAGATCTCCTACTATTTATGTTAGTGTTGTAAATACTTAATGGACAAATACTGGTATATGTATTTAGTATGTATGTACATGCCTTTTACAATGTTTCGTTTGTGTGTATGAATGAGTATATGACATGACATTGTATATGTAATGTAAATAAAAAATTTATACAATTAGTTTAATGTCATGCAAAACTGTTTGCTTTTATGTATGTATATATGAGTATATGCAAATACCTTTTTTACATGTATTACATTTTTTGTATGTATGTATATGAACACTTACTGCATTTATGTATGAGCATGAACGGTTTGTTTAATGCGAATTAAATATTTATTGCTTAATTATGTAGCATTTGATGCAAGTAAATATGTGAGCTGTTTTGTGACATTCGTTCTTAGACTCGACTATGCATTATGTTTATTATTTGTATGTTTGTAACGCTCTGATCGCTGGGTGAGTTTAATGTAGTTGCACTTTTAGCTTATCGTTGCGGAAATATAAATATAAACATAAATATAAATATAAAAAAGTTTTTGGTAGTAACAAAAGTGTGCTTTATAAAGTTGAGAAGTTTCGAAACACAAAAAATAGGTTTATTTATAATATAGACAAGCTCAAATTTCGAACAAACGTGATCAACTTTCGTTTAATCAGTAACCAGAATGTATCGAATAAATAGCCAAAATTTCATAAAATTCCTACGAGAGGGTCTCAAGTTACCATAGTCGGCTACTCCATAGAAGCGATTTTAGCAAAAAATTTTGCGCAACTATATTGTAATTTTACTACATTTGCATACACAATCGTTTCGAAACCGTTAATGTACATTTAATTTTTTAATTTTGGACAAAAATTCCGAACTACCATTTAATCAATAACAGTATTTTATTGAATAATATGCTTAAATTTGAGGGGCTTCTCGAGTTACCATAGTCAACTTCTCCAAATTGGAAGTTTCGTCAAAAGCTTTTGCACAACTGCGTTATAGTTTTAGTACAGTTAAATAAAAAAATATTTTGTAGGCTGCAAATTAAGAAGAAAGGTTCCGTACTTTCATATAATCAATAAACATAAAATATCGAATACTGTGCTTAAATTTGATACAAGTCCATCGAGGGGTTCTCGAGTTACCACAGTCAGCTACTACAAGGAAGAAATTTCGTCAAAAATTTTTGCACAACTGCAATATTATTTTGCGACAATTGCATACGCAAACGTTTTTGCAACTACATTACATTGCTAAATATTTTCAAGATTTTTTTTTTTCAAAATTAAGAATATTAGAAAGAGACGAACAGCCGAAAGAAAATATGAAAACTTTAAAAATGCTTTCAAATATTCAAAAAGTGTTAAAAAGTATGTATGATAGATTGAGCTGTTAAAATATATGTATATTTTATAGATCTGTGTCGCAATTGAAAAATCATTGCCATATTATTGGAAGATAAATAGAATTAAAAACAGCATAAAGTCGAAAATGTTTTTGGTTTAAAAATAAAAAAAGGAATCATCGCTTGAACGTTTTTGTAAACACTTTACTATCTTGTGCAATTATTTGAAAGTTATTACAATACTATTATGGACACTGCTTAGTTTTTGCTGCATTATTTATTATCATTTGCGCACATTAACTTCATATGTTTTGCAATGATCGCTCACCCAATAGTATTTACATAATATTTTCATTATTATGTATTTTTTTTTATTTCAATATTGGCAATTTATCTTAATTTCTCATTTTTGCAATTGAAATATTTTATTTATAGTTATTACTTATGATTGTTTATATTAAATTTCATAATTTTCGCAAGCGGATTATCGCTACGCTGACACTCGGCCGCAAAGAATTTTGGCTTGCGCCTTACACTTCGGCATTGCAATCCATATTCGCTTTTGATGGCGTGTTTTCTAATTTTATTTTATGTGTTTTAACTACTTTCTAATTTTTTTGCTGTTTCTATGCATACTTTATGTGGTCTGTTTATAAGATTTTACTTTTGCTTTGCCCTCGCCTCTACTGTTTATACATATTTCGTTTTATTTTTCTGTTTTCCATTCTTAATTGCAAGCGGAAATTCGTAAGTATTGCAGTCTACAAAAAATATTTATACCTTCTCGGCAACTGAAATGCTTTTTCGCAATAGATAATTATGTCAATCCATTATTGTTTTTTCTTATGCATTTGGACGGTTTTTTTGTATTTTTTTGATAATTGGGGGGTTTCAGTTTAGCAGCGCTGAGTTCACAGGTTAAAACATTCACAAATATTAAAATTGATAGAAAGCTCTCATTATATAAATAATTGAAAATATACAAAGGATATTTTTATGATGAAAGTTTAAACTATAAATTAGCAAATAAGGCTTTCATTTTGGTAGACTTAATAACCGACCCGAAAATCCCGCCAATACAAAGCTAGTTGATTTCATTTCGTAATTAATACTGATCTCATTTTTATTCACTAAAGGTGCTAGAAGTAATGTGAGAAAAAGACTACAGTTTTTTTATTTACTAATAAAATATCTAAAACATATTCAAAAACTATATTTTTACCTCCCGTAATCGCTGTTTTTGCGATTCAAAATAAAAAAGCTAATAAGTATGTTCGCAGACCGAATGCCGATTTGTCGTTTAATAACTTAAGCAAAAATTGGAGTCTAAAATACGTGAAGAAATATATGATGTACGAGGATTTCATTAAAAAAGTTACAGGTTATTATGAGTTCATTTTCTAGAGGTTGAGTATAGTCTAGCACTCTAAGAAAGGGATGAAGAAAACTTTCGTACTAATAAATTGTCCTGTCCTGTCCCCTTTAGAATATTTGATAATAGATCTTCTGGTAGTAGTCTTTCTTATAGTAGGGAACTAGTTTTGACAATAAAATTGCTATTCGAAAATGTTTGTCCAAATTTCTGTTTTTAATGGAATGGTCCATTTAACACAGGCTTCTCTAAAAATACATATTTAGTTGAAAGATAGTTTGTCCAAATTGTGTAAAGCAAATTTAAATATGAAATAAGAGCTTCTCTAGAGACATTAGAAATTTCATAGAAATATTTATACATATTTATTTTAAATGAAATAATTAAAATAAAACGAAATTTATATTCACTAGACTAATTTTATTGAAAACTCAGCTCAATTATGCGCTCTTTAATTACACAATCTACAATATGTACGAATTTCGAAAACTATTTCTTAAACAAAAAAAAGTTGCCATACAATTTATATGTTTATTTTGTTATTATTTATAGTACAATTTACAAATACATACATGCTTAGGTGGTCTTTAAATTTATTTTGTAAAAAGCTAATCATTTTACATACAACAGTTTGTCGTAAAAATATACATACAATACAGTTTTTTTGTTGCACAAGTCCATACGGAAAGCTCGGAATGAAAATATTTGAACTATCCAAAATTGTTTTGGCAATAAAGCTCTGCAGAGCTTTTGAAATATTTCTATATACTTTCGGAATGTAAAACCTTTTGAAAATATTTTCCATGCGAAATTCGTATACAAAAATTATCACAAGTACGCAAATGAAAAATTAACTGTTTGTAGAGTAAGTGCTTATTTCAAAGTAATACAAGTAGTTCTGTGCTTTTGTCTAATAAAGCTTCACTTGCTTACGTATGCTGTCATCAAAAATATTTTTGTTATTTTTTTATTGACCTGCCTTCGTTTATTTTGAATAACTATGCATTTGGTTTTGGTTTTACTTAATTTATTTTCATCTCAATTTTTCTCTTAAGACTATGTGTAGCTGTATATAAGTACCTACTTTCGTTTGTGTGTGTAACTACTTTGAAGTGTGTTTGCTTGAACTATTTCTAGGCTTCAATCAAGTTTCCTGCTTCAAATAACTTCTACAAAATATCAATTTTTCTTTGCAATTCTTTTAACGCTTTTGTTAGTTTCTTATTTATGTTGGATTTACCTTTTTCTTATTGCATTTTAAGCTACAAATTTTACAACAGTTAATGATTTTCTTACGCAATTTGCTTTGAGTTCTCTTCAAATACGACATAGTAAAAATTTTCGGCTCGGCGGCAACAATGTTTGTTTGTGTAACGTTCAGTGTGAAGAAAACGATAAATAAAAGCATACTAACTTAATGGAAGTATTGTTTTTGAGTAAAGCTTTGAGAAGCTTGAAAGACAAAGAAGCTTTTGTGTATTCCCTTTTTTCGGATGACCAGAAATTTTTAAAAAATTTTACTGCTTGAATCGTAATAAAGCTTAAAATAAGCTTTTGGTGAAAATATATCTTTTTTATTATAGAGCTCTTCTTTATCCACTTTTTTCGAATTACCTAAAATTTTTAAATTTTTGTTACTAATTTGGTTTAGAGTATAACTTTAAAAAGCTTAAAATGTGAAAGAGCTTCTGTTTTTCCAACTTTTTCGAATTACTTAAATTCAACTAAAGCTTTAAATAAGCTGTTGGTGAAAGCTTTTTTTGTTTTACTGTGCTTTTCTTTATATTCTGTTGTTCAAATTAACTGCTTTTCTCTTACCAACAAGTAATGCTTTGAAAAAGCTTTTGTTGAAAGCTCACTTTTTTACTACTGCCTTACTTAAGGTGTTTAGTTAGTAACCGAAACTGTTTAAATTATATTAATTGTCACTTACCACGCACTAACAGTTATTTACTAGTAAAAGTTTAGTTCTTCTTATAATTTTTGCTGTGGTTAATATTGAAAATATTAAGTTTAGAGTATCTCTGAACTCTAATTTTATTAAATTTAATGTGCGCTTTCTCAAAATATTTTAATAAGCAAACAACTTTACTTAAAACTCTCCTGTACATAATTTAAAACAATGAAGGGTTTAGAAAACTAAAAAACATTGTTATTAACTTAAGGGCTTTTGTATGTGAAAGCTTGTCATAACATTTGAAGCTTTTTAAAGTCTTATAACTCATCATAACACATCGATTTGAAACAAGCAACCATGAAAGCTTTAAATTATGTAATTGTGCACAGATATAATTATGAAAGCTCCAAAAGCTTTAAAGCACATAATAACTCAGTAGTTATTGGTTTACAAGCAACATAATATCATTACAAGCATTCTTTTTTACAACAGAAATTTAATTGATACTTAGCAAATTCTTAGTATTTCTTACACAATTTTTAACCTTATTTATTGTTTACTAAATTTTATAATTTGCTATATGTTACTATTGTTAAGTATAACTCGTAATTGTAAGACTGTAGTTCGATATATTTTTTGTGTATTTTCTTGTTTCTTCTTCTGTTTTTTGTTTTTTTTTTTTGGTTAGTTTTGGAAAAAAATTACTTTTATATAAAAATGTAACTAAATCAGAGAAATAATTCTCATGCTATTGCACTCCCTGACATTGTTGTCGCCTGACGATCACTCTGCAATTCACGATTGCGTTCGTGCTGCTCGGTTTCGGAACTGTGATGAGAGTAGAAAATAGGTATTTACAAATCAAAATATATAATTTGATCGTTTAGGAGAGAAAAAGAGCGCCAAATACACAAAATTTCATAAAGTTATGTTCTCTCTTTCACTCCATCTCTCTTCTATGTAAATTCCTTTTTCTTACTTTGAGCGCACGGCTATTGGACTTGCGGGCACAATATCCGCCGGCGGTGCATTATTATTATTTGTTGTCGATGCACGACGGCCATTGCCCGATTTGAAAACAAATATTGAGTCATTTTCAATTTCATTTTCAATCTGCTGCAGAAATAATAGAAGTTTATATAGTTTGTGAGCATAAATATTTTTTATTAAATTTAATTGTAACTTACTTGTCGTTTATAGGATAAACGTTCGCTTGAGACCGAACCACATGACGAACTCTCCGAAACGGCTTGCGTAACGGTAGCCACTGTGGGTGGACTACTCGGTCCGGGGAAACGTTTGGAGCACACTTGTGATTGTATATGCTCACAGATGCGACGGAAACGGCGTATGTTGCCTGAAAAGAAACGAAATTTTTTGGTTAAAGTTTTAGATTTTGTATTTAAATTCTGCATTTAGCGAAGGTCAGTGTTTGAAGTCCCTTATTTTGAGTTTGTTAAAATATAAATTCAGCCTACCTGATAACAAAGTAAATGTCAGTGCAAACAGCATATCCGAGATGTCACCTTGTTTACAAATTGCGCTTATATCCACCTGGAAAAAAAGCCTGATTAGTAAAGGTATTTAAAACAATATATACCGAGTAATATACCTGAAACTTGACATGCCGCTGAAACATGACTGGTCCATTGCCATTGCGTTTGTATTCTACACGGAAGGATGTGGGTGAGACTACGCTATGCGAAAGCTCTGCCATCTGAAAGTGAAAAAAAGCCATAATAAATTAGAAAGTTCTATCCAACTTCTAACTAATTCTATAACACGAAATCTAAACTAAAACTCACCGACAAAAAAGCATGTATCAGATGTGCCTTCACAGTCGCTATTGGCTTGCCTTTCACCAAAATCGTAAAAGTTTCGTCCTTCTCTGTCGTTATTAGATTACCAAACCACGAACGTTTTGTCAACTCGGGCGATGATTCGGGCGTCAAATGCACCTCGTCCGCGGAGACTATTAAAAATGATGACAGATATTAATATTTATTCTGTAAGTGAATTTCTTAACTAACCTTGTAGCTTTCTTCGATGAAAGCGTGGGCTACCCAGAAAACTATTTTTAATATTTGTAAGACGCGTCTTCCACAGCTGACCACCGGGCGCATTACATGGTGAACCGGGCATCACAGGTGAACTGTTGTTCATTAGCGGTGATGTTGTAGGATTCATAACTGTAAGGAGAGGTTATAGGTAAATAAATATTCTATTAAAAAGCGGAGGTTTAAAATTTCTATTTAGACTCAGCTCTTTCCACTACATCTAACTTAGTTTTTCTAAAAGAATCAAAACTATATTTGGTTGGTTTCAGTTTCACTAAAACTGATCACTGCTGGTTCATAACGGTTTTAAGCCTGACTGTTCGACTTTACGAGTTGATATTCAATACTAAACTACTAGCAATACCTGTGAGTATATCTGCTTCTTAATTTCACAGATTTCAAATTCAATCTATATAAAGTCGCGGTCTGCTTTATCTTCCACAGAACTCATTTTAGAAGATACTAACTGCAATGACCAAACGTTTACTCATATTGAAACTGCTTTTTAGCGTTACAAATTCCGGCCAGTCATTTGGTCAAAAACTATAGCTCACATAGGCTCAAAGACCACAATAAAGTGAACTGTAGTATATTTTAATTATTTGGTCTTAAATCTGACGAAATAGTTCATTTCGATTCCGATTTCTTCTTAAATCTATCTGACTTGTTATTTTGAACCTCACTCTAACTTCTACTCACCGCTATTCGCTTCCGGATCGTGGAACATGCTAATCGCTATAGTGGGTCCCGAGTTGGCACGATGATGTACTGTTGAGCTACTGCTACCGCCACCGGGACTGCCGGGCACACCACCACAGCCCGCCTGCAGCGCCGCTTGGCGTTCACTGCGTGAGTCTCGACGTTCGCGCGCTTCACGTGCTTCACGCACAGCAACAATATCACTGCCACCAACACTGCTGCCACTACCACCGCCACCTCTATCACCACCACTGCCACCGCTAATAATACCCTCCACGCCGCTTTGCGAAGAATGTGAGGGCGTACGACTTACAGACGGATGATGTTGTGCCGAACCGGAACGCTCGCGGCATTCACTCGAATAGGTAGAGTGACGGGATGAGTGTCCGGCCGATGTGGCCGCTGGCGAGGATGGACGTGAAATGGCATTCACTTGTTGTTGCGCCGAATTGATAGGTGAATTGCAACGTGTGGGACTGTGATATGACGAGGAACGCACCGAGGAAACCGTAGTGGGCGAGCGACGCTGGTGATTACGCGAACTGCTGTAGGACCGGAAGCTGTGGTTGATTCGGTTTTGTTCGAAACGATTTGGAATTTGTAACGAATGAAAGCGCAAGCAATGGTTTGTAATGGATTTTGTCGAATGAAATGTTGCGCAGCGCGTTTATTCGTGGTATTTTTTTTGTATTTTTTTTGGTGTTTTTGTGTGTGCGTAGTTAAGCAACGGCAATACGTAACAGCAAACATGCAAGAAATATATGAATAAGATGACATAACAATTTAGTAAATGAGATAAATTTATATAAGTAATAAATGCAAAATCAGCCGCTAGTTTTGATTGTATATACATATATATGTCTGTACTTGGAGTCTTACTTGAAAGCTTGCCGTCTAGGCGTTAGTGGTGAACCTTCCGATATCTGTCCATAGCTGGGCGAATTCGTACCATTTATACGACAGGTATCGAGTCGTTTTCTGGGCGGATCCACTGCATCTAATTCACTACGTGATTTTTGAGCGATTTCATCATCATCTTCCAAGGCAGGACGCCTTCGTTTGCGATCCAAGAGTAGAAAATATATAACCTTCTCTGTATTGTGACTGAAAAGCAAAGTGGTTGAAGGAATCGGTGTGTTAGAAAAATGTTCATAATTAAGCAATAATAGTTAGAACCAAAGCAAACAGATGGCAGGAACGAACTGAGCATCTGGAGAACCCAACATTCTTTATGGGAAATATACTAAAACAGCAAACGAATTTTATGATATTTGCTTTTTATTTTCTGTATGAGATTTGTAATTTAAAGAAGCGTTGTCTGATTTAAGCTGTAAGGTTCGAACACGCAATTCTGAAAAAAACATTTAGTAAAAACTTTAGGAGATCAAGAGATTAGAGCCGCGGTATACTATCAGCTTCTTTTGATTTCCGCTTAATTCATCTACTCGCCTTTTCCCGGTTATTATAGCGCTACAGTGCTTTATTAAACGAAAAAGCGCTACATTTTTTATGAGAACTGATTGCAACGAACCCTGAAAAGTAATAATTACGCAGTAGTTGTAAGACTTTATCAAATCTGAAGACCTCAGAATTCGAAATAACTGATTTTTTGGTTATCTTCTTGACGGTACAATCACTCGGAATTAAACTTTATTCGACAGTTCCGCTACTCGGCTTTGCTTCGGCGTTGGAGCTCTCTCTCCGGGCAAAAGACCGTACCGTGCTATTTGGTTGTCGGTAGACCAAGAGCTTGGCTCAAGGCACGACTGACATAACATAATGACTACCGAAAAAAGTAACAAATGAAGTAATCTGGCGAAATATTGCGAGCGACTAGTTTTACTTTAGTAATTAGATTGCGCTCACTTAACCCTTTATGCCAAAAGCTTGATGGAGGCTCTTTGTGTTCTACACCTATTCACCTAACAGTTTTCATATACTAGTAATTTAAATGTTTTTAGACTTGCCACCCTTTAGACTCGATATGACGAGTATTATACAAGTATGGAACAATGAGCGCTCCCACACACTGAGGTACATTGTAATTACATTTAATTAATGCGCTTGTATATGCATAAGGAGAACTCCACCGAATGTCTGCGCGAATATGCGCGACATGGTATCATCATAAACCTAGCTGTCTACAACAAGTACACCGTTAATCACTGTTTACGACGAAGTCCAACAGAGAAGTGTTGTAGCAAGCGTAAGAGTGCAAGCTCACATAACCGCACACATACGAATGGAGTACTTACTTCGAACTCAATAGCTCTTGTATGAGTTTATCCTTTTCCTTGAAGCAACCCAGCGAGCAAATCGCATTTAAAACATCCGGATCCACCGCTGAGGCGGACGGTATGACATGCGTTTGCACCACCTCCATCATCGGCAGTTCCAATTCCAATTCACCTTTGCCGCCAGCCGTGACCCATGGATGGCGATTTATTTCCGACAACTGTGTGAGCGAAAGCGAGAAAGAATGAGAGGCGGATTAAGAAAAAGAGTATTGTTAGTTGGAGTTCAAATCGAATTCGCATTAGAAACCATTTTTTTTTTTATGAGTGTGCAGAAAGTATGGAAGTGAGAATGTGAAACGAGTGATTTAGGCATGTAAATGCAAATAACGGTAAATCAAATGCACGAACTGTTTGACAAACGAGCGCGTTTTGGGAATTGACTGGTGACACAAACAAACAAAGGGTTCCACAATTTGAGTTGTGTGTATGCAAATTAACACGATGGTGCATATGTACTTGCCAATCGGACGTGAAATTGTCAGCCCAACAAGACAGCAAAAACAACAACACAAAACAGCAAAAATAAGAACACAAACACATATGATTACATGTCACTTGAATAGCTGTAGTAATGCAATCAGTGCTGTTACCGTCAACAATTGTCGCTTTTATGACTGACTGCCTGCAGATTCACTGTTTCTTGTTATTGTTTTTGCATGGTTGGGGATGTGACGGAATGATGTGTCAGAACCACCCTTGGTTGTACGCATAACCTTAGAAAGCCATATGCCACTAGACACATACATATGTTTGTGCAAATGTATGAGTATATATAAGTGTAGTTTTGTATGTATATATGTATGCATATGCGTATATTACATGTGTGTGCATTTTTTGATGACTCACCGTCAGTCGTCGATCCGGATTCACCTCAATCATGCCGCGCAATAAACTTTGACAGTCGGGCGGCACAAAGTGCGGTATATGAAACACGCCACGCTTCACTTTCTCCAGCAGCTGGCGTAGGTTATCGTCATCGAAGGGCAATGCGCCCACCAATAGCGCATACAGTATAACGCCGCAGGACCAAACATCCGCTCTACGTCCATCGTATTTTTCACCCTACAAAAGAAAATCGGTAATGCAATAAAAACTGTGTGACAACGAAATGAAATGAAAATATAAAAAGCAGTTACAAAGATTTGTTGTAAACTCATCACTATTATATAGCTGTCATTGCTGACTGGTAATATATTGCAGCAAAAAGGAAATATATGCGAGTGTATTAGATGGTGGAATTAGATTAGGGCAGAGCGTTTTTTCGAAGACAAAAAATTTAATAAATTAAATCCGTAGCCAAACCTTAAATGTTTAAGATGATATACATATAATCTTCTAATAATGTGCTTCAATTAAAAACACTATAAAAAATAAGGTTCAAACCAAACCAGTGAGTTCGACTTCAATAAAAATAGGAAAACACGTTAATTTCTTTAACTTCGAAGCTATAATAACCTTCACTAATACAAAAGGTTCCTTACAAGCACTTGATTCCGATCGTTCAGTTTGTATGACAGCTATATGCTATAGTGGCTCAATATCGGCGATTAAGACAAATGTGCAGTTTCTTGGGGAGAAAAAAAACAAAATTTGAGATCGATATATCAAAAAGTGAGGCAGCAGTTCGCGTATATACCGATAGACGGAGAGGCGGAAGGAAATGATTAAATCGAATAAGCTCATGATCATTTACACTTGTATATATATTAACTAAGAATAATACAAATAGAGTTTAAGACAGTTTCCTCCCGTTTCTTGTTTAGAATACTTTTGACAGAAAATGCATTGTTTAGTGACGTCATGATATTGTGTTTACAATAATCTCGATAGTTTGACAGTTCGTTTAGTTTATGACGAAGCATGTCGGTATCTTGCCCTTATCATCTAAATACCAACGGAGTTTATATCAGCTCAAAACTTTTTGCAACTGAATATACTGTTACGTTTCTCTTAATAGCATATAGAACCCAACTCTTCCAGAAGAGCTTAAAAAAAAGGAAGTGGTGAAAATACGAGAAAGTTTCAGAAAATATTCTACCGGATATCAGCTTAAAATATTATATTAACAGATCTTAGAGCCCAAAACTTTTTGCAACTGAATATACTGTTACCTTTCTCTTAATAGCATATAGACCCAACTGTTCCAGAAGAGCTTAAAAAAAAGTAAGTTGTGAAAATACGAGAAAGTTTCAGAAAATATTCTACCGTATATCAGCTTAAAATATTATATTAACAGATCTTAGAGATTAATTTCTTGATAGGCTTTGCCAAGTCGAAAGGTACTTATCTAGAATATGTAAATAGCAACAGACTCTAGTGGGAGCGGGCTCTTCCATTGGTCGCTTTGAGTGGTTATAAGACTCTGAGTAAGTTGAAGTTTTAGGCATAGACTATTAAGCCATTAAAGTATCATCATTCGAATATGAGTACCAAGAAAATCAAATAATTTTTTTCCGAATCGGCAAATAAACTTTAACATAATTCTTTAAAAATATGCGAGCTCGCACGCAAACGCAAAGACAATTTTCAATAATGGATGGAGGTACAAAAATACTATATGTATACTCCAGAATCCACAAAAACTATAAATTTTTGAAATGTGTATAAAAATATGCTGCTTGGCAAAAATAATGTACGTTTTAAAAATTCGAAAATTTTCGAATATACGAAAATAGCAAGTCTTTACTTCAGAAGTGAAGGATAACCCGCATAATAGCACTTTAATATATAGTTTTCATTGTTTTTTTTTGTCATAAGCATATTAATCCAAAAGAAAATTCCGCCCACACTAATACTCCAAACACTGCGTTGTTGAACTTTGTACTATACCAATTTCGCATTGAACAATAAAATACTTCGCTTTGCTAAATATTATTGTGTATTGAAATGGACATTAGTAAAGTTTATTCTGTTGTTGATATTTGCAAACGGAATTGCACAAATAATTTCACTATTTCAACTACGCATCGCTGACGTCAGCTATGAGCGACCTTTGGAGCTCAAGTAAATGGCGAGTTTATAATCGAACAAAGGGCACAAACATACAAATTGTACGTAAAAAGATGGAGGTATCGCTAATGAAGATGCTTCCGCTTCCAAAAAGCAGCACTTTCAGCAAATCGGGGGTTGTTAGCGCTATCAAAGACTTATAACAGTGTATAAATAAATATTTATGTGAGTGGAGTGGGGAATGCATTAAGCAGAGACAAATTTGGGGTGCAGCAACTTCATTTACTGCTTTTACTAGCAAATGTGGTTAGCTTTAAAATACTCGACAATAAATTCTACAAGTTGTTAAAAGCTTTATGTTGTGAGCAGTTCCTGGCAACCCCATTTCGCGCGTGACTCATATTTCAAAGCGCATAAAATAAACACAGTTATTTGATGCACAATAACATTGACACTAATTGTTTGCACTATAAAGGCAAGTAGTATGTGATTCTTAATTCTCAAAAAATATTTATATGTAAATTTGAGCAAGAATCAGTCTAACCGAAAAACAAATCTAAATCTTCTAAATGAATTTTGTAAAGTCAAGACTTTCTGCAGTTTTTATAGTTATGTAGCGTCTACCTTCTGTGTTTTCATCTCATAGTTTATAATCTTTAATATAAATCTATACTAAAATACTCTGCTGAAGCAGTTTTTTAACTTCTGTAGAAATTTTATCAGCTTCCAACAGCGCTGCTCAGTTTAACTAGTTCCTTTAGCAGTACTAGTGTTATTTAATTTAGCATTAGGACACCATAAAACAAAACTCTCATATCATACAAACCAATAGCAGTTCAGTTGAATTATGTATGTAAAATGAATATAGAAATCTAGGTTTAGACTTCAATTGCTCTAATGAAGAAATATTTTCGCTGTACTGACAAATGTTTTCGAAGTTACTTGGACACTAATAATAACATAGATCGGTAATTAGACTGCTCCCTGAACTTTTTCAACAAAATTTAACTCATTCTATTGTCTTTCTGAAATGTGAAATGCCTCTGTCAGTATTTTCGTCTCTATTTTTTAATACTATAACTAAATGTAGCTATATACTTATACATATTGGGTCTATAACTATATTCGTGTGTTCTCCTTTTTTTTATTCGAACTTTAAAGAAAAAGTTTAATATGTTATTAGTCAAAGTACTGCCCATCTGAAAGTATAAAATATTCCTATCTTTCTGGCAATTTGTGGATTCAATCCCGACAAAATAGCGCCGGCTTGGCGGGCATGAATGAATCGAGCCAATTTTTGCTTTGGTGATGGTCAGTGAGAGCCTTCGGGATCGAAAAAAAAATAAGGCAAAACTTCTCAGCCGCTTTGTCCGAATAGTTCTTGAAGGGTCATGCCATTTATTTGACTGGTTGTCTAGGTTTCACATATGATTTTTTACCATTTAGGGTTTTCGTAATGGAATGCTGCTTATTTGTCTGAATCGCCGATATCGGACCACTACAGCATATAGCTGCCATACAAACTAAACGATTGGAATCCAGTTGTTGTATGGGAAACTTTTTTATTTGACGCGATATCGTCACAAAATTGGAATGCCTAATTATTCAAAGCAGCGGTTCAACCCCCAAAAAAATTGTATAGATCGCACAACTATAGCACATAGCTAACATACAAACTAAACGAACGGAATCAAGTTTTTTTTTTAATTTTTCATTTCATTTTAGACATCGAATCGTTATTTAACATCTCCAGTATATGTAATACACAAACTAAAATACATCACTTAAACACTTTATCTACAAAGCTTATATCAATGTCACATAAATTCTATCAATCCTTTCACATATTTCACAATACAGCAATTTTCCCAATTTCGATGTAAATATTCACATTCGAAATGCCATAAATTTATTTCAAATAATTTTAACTGATAAAAATGTCTGTCCTTTATGCCAATCTCCATGCTACAAAGTAAGTTTACGATATTGCCTTGGCATTACCTACATACCATATATCTATCTACATATGCGACTGTCTCTACTTAGTTAGATTGTAGACTCCCATTGCCTCTTCTTATATGCGTGTGTGAAGAATATTTTCTGAATATATTTTGAATACAAAAAAAAAAAAACTTACGCATGTCCTTCAGCATGCTTTAAATGCCCTTGAATACACATAAAATTACATAAAAAGACAAAGAGCAGTGAATCTATAGTACAACAACATCATCATTCGACAGCAAGAATGCTTAAGGTAGTTTTTAATTTTTATTGCGTATCAAAAAACAAAAATGAAAGAGATGAGAGAAAAAATAGTTTTCGGCTGTGATCCTTGTGATTTTTTGCTTGGACAGTGGTAGACATATTTGTAGGTAAAGAGAATGTCACAGCATAAATTCGAGTTTTAGTTTCTATAGAGTTTTGGTTGGTTGGATTAGTTTAAATCTGACGCTCGCTCGCAAGGGAATTCCCACTTGTGGACACAACTATAGACAGGTACTCTGTGGTACCAGAAACTCGCAAAAGTGAGCAAGACTTGCGTGAATCTACGAAGCGCCTTGGCCTTGTTAAAATTCTTTTAAGGTAATTAATTTGGACTTCAACTAGGCCGTCTGAATGTCTGGAAGTATGATTTTGGTTTTGAATATTAATTTTGGGAAAGCTGGACAGTTCAGAAGATCCGGCTGATTATTAGAGAATAAGCTCTGACAATAAAATAAAAAATTTATTGTACCATGACCTAGCAGTCTAACCGCAGAACTTTCAATAAGAATTCGTAACAATTAACCCAAATCTGAACTTCTAAGTCATTTTTAATAAAATTTCATTTAGTTTATTTAATATTGTTCACTTCTCTGCACACGAGTGCATTCTTCGCCGGCTTTCATTATTATTCTGTCATTTGTATTAGAATTTCTCCTGGTAGCAATATGTTCTCGTATGCCAAAAATGCTTTTGATGTTCATCGCTCTACAAACATACATTTACGCTCAGTTGTGCATGTTCATACCTCAGCACGCCGCCATCGTCCATCTTTTTCATACAGTTTGAGACTGCCCTAGAATGTCGTTTACATGTTTTGTCCTGGTTGTCAACGCAAGCACAAAATGCAAACCATATGTATGATAACCCAGTAAGCAAACATTTTTTAAACTCGAAACTTTAAGGTTAGGCGGGTATAGCGGAATATCAATGTCTGTCAAGTATTCCGAACCTCGAAGAATATGATATGTAGCCAAATATTCAAAAGGTTGAAAATTTAGGACTGTCAGATCTAAACGAACACCGAGCGATTTTTGTGTCAAAGTAATTCTCGGTGAGCAAAAGATCTAAGCTCCATTCGAAATTAAGTTTTTTAGCATAATTTTAGGCGTCTTCCAATTAGGATTTGAAATCACAGCCTACCGACAGATAGTGTTGATTCTAACAAAGCCGCCTTCGTCTGGAAACCAATGTAATGTAATATATGGTTCACATCTTATTCGAAAACGAATAAAGTACTATTTTGTGCTCCGAAAGAAGTAAAAAATTTAGCTTTCTTTAAGCGGCATGTAGCAGTTTTGAAAGCTCTCGGGACTGAACTTTGCCTGGTATATCATAAACGTTTTTGTTTACAATAAGTACGGTAGGCATACTTTAAGAAGAAGATGAACTGATTGAATTCTAGAGATGAAGGCTATGCGGTCACTTTCTTTAGAGACTTGTATGAGTGAGAAGACTTTGGATAATCTAAAAAAAAAAAAAAACCAACAGCTTCAACAAGGACTTCGTATTCGGCTGAATAGCTGGTGTAATTACCTGTAAGAGAGAATCGTTGGTCGAAACATTTTGATTGGGACCACTAATGTACCTTTACCGACTTCGTTAAGATTTGCTTATTTTATCCAAACCTTCGCAATAAGTCTGGATTCTTCAAATATTTCATTTTAATGGCTTAAACCTCACTTTTCGTTGATTGGGTGCATGCATCGCAACAGCATACACAAATCTTGGCAACACCAGCTGCCAACAGCAAGCTAACCAACAACCAACAACCAGCAACCCAACTATTGCTACACTTGTCAGTCGCATGCCATCAATTTGCTATAGAAATACAAGTATGTTGCTATTGCTATTGTAGTTGCTTGCCTGCAGCCGTATTGTCCTCCAGCAGAAATGACCCGCTTGGCCGGCCTCAAAGCATGCGTCTCTGCATGTGTGTGTGTGTGCGAACGTGCGTCTTTAGCTCTCAACATATGAAATATGCGCTTGTTGTGTGCCACTTATGTGTCCCCACTTACAACGTTTCGTCGACGAGCATGTTTGGCATTTTGCCGTTACACGTCAATGTCAGCGTGGTATACAATACGCTCGTCGCTGGTCCACACTGCCTGCCGCACTTCCTTCCTGCCGGCATGACTTTGTAAATATTTGTGATTTTATACATTTTTTACTCGCAACCGGTGAGCAGCGTACGCTATGCTACAAATATTCTGTCGCTTTCGTTTCGCATGCGAATGTCACATGACCACCACACCGCCTGGCTAATGGCGTTCTTTGTCAAAGTTACCCCACTCTTTGCCTCTTGCAAACATATGTTCACTCGCTCCTCAAGTCACAGCCGGCATTCGCGTTTGATTGTTAGTTTTCGATTAGCATATTTTTGTAATTTATAGAGTTATATATGTATACATGTAGAGTATTCCTAATATTTCTTCGCTTTCTCTTAAATGCCTTGTTTGTGTCAGCTTCAGCTTCTTTTATTTTTCATTTATTTTGAATTTTCTTATCTGCTTATATTTTTTGACATTTATGTAAGATTTATGCGTTCGTCGTATAACTAAGTTATTCAAATCTAAAACGTATTAGGGGACCTGAGAGAAAATGAATATAAAAATGGTATAGTAAGAAAACCGAAGATGATTTATTAATGTACTTGCAGCAAGCAAGAATTTTAGTAGTGGTGGACTGCAATCAATTTCTTAATTTTTTTTTACAGCGATTGTTCGCTTGCAAAGTCTCAATCGTCTCGTGCTTATCTGCGTACACAAGCTACTTCGTGGGATTTTGTAAGCCCACAATCCAAGATCCTTTCACAAAATCCTCCATAAAGTGCAGGAAATCTTGCTGCTGCCAGCGTTTGCGTACTTTCTAAGTAGAAATCACCTCATATGGAACTCGCATTACTTACTTAAGGTATACTAGGCTATATTTTTCATCTTTAGTCAGCCTTCGTAATAAAAATTTCTAATCAGTGCTCTTAGTTTATTCATAAATCGATATGATTTATTTATGAGGGTTATTTTGAGAATTCATACATATACAATTTACTGTGATTCGGCCCAGTCAGAGTCAGTGTTATTATGGAGCGGATGACTATGTAGTCCATCTACTGTAGTCCATCTACTACAAAGTCCAATTACTACATAGTCTTCTGCTCTTTTAAGACATATTCAGCAAACGAAAAGAAGTGTTTTTGATACTTCGATTTTCTAGCAGTTAAAATTTTTCTTGTTTATATTATTATCTCCAAAATATGAGTTAAATATGTATTGCGATATTTTCAATGAAACCTGAGGTTGTCTAAGATGTCGTATGAAAGTTTTTACATTCTTCTACAATTAAATAGAAATCCCACAAAGTCTTGACAGCGCTGCAGCAAAATTGGAGAAGCCATCACTTTGGCGACCCAAATAAAGATGCGCCTCACAGAACAAAAAAAAAAACAAAACAGCACGAGCATGAAATTAAAAAAGCTGTAAGTCTTAATTTAAGAATGAAGAATGAGTATGAGAGAGACAAGATTGCGACAAGCATTGCTATATACGAGACGAGTTGTCAAATTTACATAATAATTGTAAATCAGGCCTCCACCTCCTTTCGCTCATGACGTCACACGCCAATGTATTTTTCTGTCAAATACGCGTCAAAGAAACTCAAAAGACAATACTTACATAACCCCAATTTCTATTAATATTTTGTAACTTTATAGCGAAATTTAATGTTGTCAAGTATTTCCAACCATACGATACAACAATATAACTACTATATATTTAGTTAACAATTATAAAAAAAAAAATTATTATTATCATTATTATTGTTATACTCTCAACAGGGTATATTAGGTTTGCCACGAAATTTGTAACACCCAGAGTAAACGCCGGAAAGCCTTATAAAAAAAAAAATATCTATAAATAAAATATATATATATCTAAACAGCGTAACGAGTCGGGTCGGGAGTTAGCGAGCGGAAATTTTACACTTGCCCTTTTATCCCTAAAAAGCTGCTTATTTGGCGGAACTGCTGATATCGGACCACTATAACCTATACCTGCCATATAAGCTGACCGGTTAAAATCAAGTTCTTATATTGATGCTATTTTATTCGTGAAGGGCTATAATACCCGTTTTTTCTTGTTTATTTTATTTTCATTTTAAATTATTATGCAATATCCAACACAAATCCTTTTAAAATTTTAATCGTTTGCGATCTCATTTTTTCATAATATCCGCGTTACTTTACTTTTCCCCATCACCGAGATAATTAACTAATTAACAGCCTAAATAGCAGCATCACACTTCGTAGGTGCACCGTTAGCTAAGTAGGATAGTTGCTTTTGAGCGAACATTGGTAATATTTACCGTTAATGTTGATAGGCAGAAGCAGCAGCATGGCATTAGCATCATCACCGGAATTAGTTAGTATGCGAGCATGAAAACCGAGGCTGATTTCAGCTTATATAGGCATATATAGTATATAGCTGACTTCATATATATACAGACATCTCTGTCTCTATATATACGTAGATATGTCAGTATATGCTAAATACATCGTGGCGCTTATTAGCACACATTGAAGCAGGCTGCCATGGCCACTTTTGCTCTCATTTGGCATGCTGCAGTGGCTCCAGCCACTTGTCCTTGCCCAACCAGCACTGCAGTCGCACACATCATAGATATATACATATATATATATATATACAGTTTGTTTCAGCGGCTGGCTGGTGGTACCTACGTATTTGCACAGCTTTCAGCGCTGTTTTGCCTGCCTGACCGCCTGCCTGCCTTCAGCTGTTACCAAAAGTGGTGAGCTTATGCGGGACAATATTTGACTTTACATAAAAACGGAAGCTGCAAACAGTACGCATAACCATACCACATACAAACACCAGCGCATCAATTAACACTGCTGCAGAGCTATGTGTGGTTGTTGTTGTTGCTGTGCTTCGCTGGGAAGCTGTTGCTAATCTATATGTCTAAATCTCTGCAGCTTTGTGTGGCCAAACACTCAACACGCCGAACTTTGGCGTTGGACACTCGTGTCATCAACCAATCTTTACAGTTAGCTATATAAGTATATTACACTTACCCTTATGACCTCGGGACATGCATAATGCGGCGATCCACATGAGGTTTCCAGCATAGAACCGGCCGGTTGCAGTGAAGCCATACCGAAATCGGCAATTTTGATGTTGTTCTTTTCGTCCAGCAGCAAATTTTCGGGTTTCAAATCTCGATGACTGTAATGTATGAAGTAATAAAAGAGATGATGAAATATTTATGCGCATACATATATATGAGAGGAAAGATGCAAATGCAGGCATGCCTGAGTGTTCACTCTTGTATGTAGATGGTGCTAGAAGATTAGGCGGAAAAGTTATTTAATGTCTGACGACGCGGCAAATTGGCTAGGCATGAAAGTTTACTTGGCAGCGCCATTGGGCGCTAAAGTTGCAACCGCTTGGGGATTTGTTAGGAAGTAAATTTAAATGAGATTGAAGACAATAAAATGCAATGAAGTCAAAAATTAAATTAAACGACTAAATTTGTGTTCTAAAAAATAAAGGTATTCAAATTGTCTACTAAATAATTCTTAGTTGCCTGATATTTAGAATTAAAAGCATTATCATATATCATATAAATTATAAATTTAGCACTAAAAATCTGCTATGTTTCATATTTTGTACTAAAACCATTTTTTAAAAGATTCTTAAAAGTAATAGTACTAAAAAGCTTAGTCTAAACTCTTTAAAATATTACATCATATGTATTATATACATACGAAATTTAGTACTATAAACTTCTATATTTTAATTTTTCGTACCAAAAGTCTTTTTTTTTTAAATCATCTAAATAAGAGTACTAAAAATCTTGACCTAAAATATTTAAAATATTATATGAAATGCATTATATGCATACTAAACTAAGTACTAAATTTTTTATATTTTCCTATTTTGTACTAAAACTAAATCTTATAAAAATTTTCATTTTAAAATCATTTAAACTCTCTTCCAAGCATTTTTTGAGTAAAGCGAGAATAGTATACTAAACTTTAGTTCTAAAATTATTATACTAAAAATATCATAACCACCTCAAATCCAACATTACAAATATTTTTAGTACAACCATGAAGGTTTTTTGGTTTTAAAACAAACTGTCTTCCAAGCATTTCTTGAGTTGTTTCGAGTACTGTGAGAATTGTGTACTAAAATTTTGTTCTAAAATTATTATACTAAAAATATGATAAACACCTAAAATTTAATATTATTAATATTTTTAGTACAACCATGGGGTTTGCTTGATGTTAAAATGTTTTACTTCACATTTTAAATGTACTAAAAATGTTTATAACGATCTGGATATTTTAGTATGCTAAAAATATATTATCAAATTATTATTTTTTTGCTGTTTTAATATTTTTTAACTATACTAAAAATATTGTATGAAAATTTGGTTGCTTAGACTATGTAATAGATATGTTATGAATGCTTAAAATTTAGTATCAATGCATGTCAGGGTGAAAATACTGTATATGCGGTTAACTACTAAAAACTGTGTGCTTGGAAAACATACAAGTACTAAAACTATTGAATATTGATAAACTAAATAACTGTATATTTTGCTTAATTTGTTATTTATTTCGTACGATAAAACTATAATGGGTAAAAATAGCTACGTTTAATAGGACTTTAAATGTACTAAAAAAGTAAATATTGTATTAAAAATATTTTAACATAAAATGTTTATAAGCATTTCGTCTAGGAAACCTTACGACGTTTATAAATGGTACTTTTTCTTAATAAAAATTGCGTACTAAAATTTTTGTTGATGTAATTGGCTTCTTTAAAATTAGTAAACTAAAATTTGTGATTTTACTTAAGAAAGCTAATATATAGGACAAAATCTGTTTTACAGAAATTTAGTACTAAAAAACGAAGTAAAATGTAGTACGTTAAACGGAAGTAAAATTTAGTGCCAATAATTTACCAAAATTTAGTACAAAAAATTTACAAACATTTATGGGTAAAAACTTTACTTAAATTAAGTACAAAGATTTACTTAAATTTTGTACAAAAATCTGTATGAAAATTAGGCTAACAGCATTTCGACAAAATGTAGTTAAAAATCTGTCATGAAAGGCTCTGCCAAGAACAACATTTTAATTTATGTATTAAAACTATACAACAGAAACTAAAAATTTGCAAATAAAAATTCTACTACACTTTATTTATTTTTATAATTAAAAAAGATATTATAACACGAAGCTATATTTCAATTTTGACCTTACGCTCCAACCGGAGTTAAAGAAAATTTATATATTTCACTTACCATATGGAATGTGAATGACAAAAATCCAGCGCTGATATTATTTGACGGAAAAATTTACGTGCTTCCTTCGGCGTCAGTCGTCCCTTTTTCACCAAGTAATCAAACAATTCACCACCAGAAACATGCTCTAATATTAGATATAAATATTTTTTGTTCTCATAAACATCGCTCAATCCCAGGACATGTGGATGATCAATCAATTTCATAATAGCAATTTCTCGTTCCACCTGAAAAATTGAGAAAGAAAGAAATAAAAAGTGTTATTAGCTACGAAAATTGTTGGCACGGGTAGAAAGTAAGGTGTATACTAAAACAATAATAGCTTTAGGCAAACGGCAATTATGTATATTTTTAGAATTAGTTTAGTAAATATATTTGGGTATAATTGCAGGGCCACTAACGGTTATAAGTTATCTCTGTTCAAATTGATGTACTCTAGTTTATATTATACATATATACAAAAATTATTACTCTATGAATAAATACATTATTTATAGTTTGTCTTTCTATTATACTGCCGGATATTTTACTTTTTTATTTTTGATGATTTATCCGCCTACACATAGGTTATATAATTTTATCATTTTACTCCACCACCATCGAACAACTTCCATTTTATATTGTTATTAAAATATTTTTTCCATAAGCTCGTATTTAAAATAGTGATTTTCACTAGGGAGTCATTAAAATGCTTAAACCTCAATTAGCTTCTCGTTTACGTAATTCCACAAATCTCTAACGACCAAAAATCCAAATGCTGGTAATTATGAATACTTTTTGCCGCACTTCAGGGAAGCTGCCTATTTTCAGGCATATTTAAATCAATAGCACTGGCATACAATTGTAATTAAAATGATATTATGTATAATTGTTGTTGTGTTATAAAAAAAACCTAGATTTTTGGTTCATTAGCCTTCTTACATTAAGTTCATTGAACCAGATATGAGTTAATTCAATTATTGAATTAATTTCGTGACGAAAATTAATTACTACTTATAGTATACATATGTATGTCTTTAATTGTATACATTAATTTTAATATATTGATAGGTATTGTAATACGTATAAGTTGTAGGGAGTTGCGAAAATTTTGTTCGTAAAAAGCAACATTTAATTGAAAATTTCTAAACAACAGTTTTAAAAATAAATTTACTACAAAGTTATTCGAGTGTTATTTTTCCACAACCTTAAACTACTTAATAATGTTCATGCAGACTGTGTATGGCTAACATATCATAACTGAATACCACTTTCAAACTTGTCATTTACTTGAAACAATTAAGTTGTTAATTATTGATATTAATTTGATCTGCAGACAACCTTTATTTAGTTTAAACTATTAGTATATGAGAGCTGTTTAAATATTCTTTCGATTTTGTTCATAAATATTTAGGCCTAAATAATAGATAAAAACACAAGCTTTACTTAACAACTAAACTTTGAGTAACAACTCAACTTTGTATAACAATTCAACTTTAACATTACAATGCAACTTTTACACAACAACTCAACTCTTACAGAACAACTCAAATTTAACATAATAGTTCAACGTTTAAATAACAACTCAACTTTTACATAACAATGCAACTTTTACATAGCAACTCAACTTAGTATAACAACTCAACCTTTACATAACAATGCAACTTTTACATAACAACTCAACTCTTACACAACAACTCAAATTTAACATTATAGTTCAACGTTTAAATAACAACTCAATTTGGCATACCAACTCAACTTTTATATAGCAACTCAACTTAGTATAACAACTCAACTTAGTATAACAACGCAACTTTGGTTAACCATTCAACTTTCTATAACAACTCAACTTTGAACAAAAGAATCGAACTTTTTCGCCAAATACATTTGGGTCTGTAATCCAACAGTATATTGGTCCTTGCAACATTTACCTTTAATGTTCTTTATTCTAGTCACACTTTCATTAAAACCGTGTATTTTTCACTAAAGAGACGATTTTCTTTTATAATTGAAGCAATCGAGAGAAATTCTCGAACAGAACTTAACCTAATCTCTGCGGAGATATTTGTCTAAAAAATATATAGACAATAAGCTTTACTGCTGCTTAAGTATATAGCATTTATAGAGTGAAAATATGCTTATTTTCCAGAAAAACTCTTTCAGCGAATATTACTTTATGTTTTGCTTGCTTTCCTTTGCATTCATGTTCAACGTGTAGCTGTGAAAGTAGCTTACGATGTATTTGTTCGTTGTACATACATATATTTTTATATATGCATGCATACAGTCACATATACATACGTACAAAAATGCATGCAACTAAATGTAAGGGGTTTCATTAATTTCCAATTTTCCTTACAGTGAAAAGCTTTCAAGTGACATGAAGTTATCGAAAAGCTGCTTTCGGTTATTGTGTACGCAAAAAAAAAAAAAAATTACGATTCCGTGACCTAAATACTCAATAATCAAAGCGGATAAGGATTTTACGACAAACAAGGTGACATGAAGTTGAACAATGAGTTGAGCAATGTCAATGAAAACCGAAAGAAAATTGCAGGTAGGACAAAAGAATATATAATGCTATGCTTTCGGATAAATATTTTCAGAATGGATTCGGCTACGAAAGTATTTTACGAGTTTAATTTGCTATTTACTTACTTTCACCGCCAACCAAAATAATTGAATTTAAATTAAAAGTATTAAGCGTGAAAGGTCATTAACCACAAAGCTATGCGCATTACCAGCTGCAAGTAAAAAAGAGCGGTAATAAAGCGCCAACACCCACATATAGTTGTTTGCCGGTGTTTTTTTTAATTTTTTTCCTTGCCCTGCTTTATTATACACAATTTCTGTTAGTCAACTATAGGAAAACACGTGTCACTAATGAAAATTTATATCCGCTTCGCACACAGGCAATCCGCCACAAACAATAGTGTGCGCATTAATAAACAGAAAAAACAAAAAACAAAAACAAAAAATGCAGACAAAGCACAAACTAAAAACCGAAAATCGAAAACAAAAGCAAATATTATATGAAAAAAAAAACCCAGCGCAAGCAGAAATATATTTATACCCTTGAGAATGGCAACATACGAGTAAGCTCTGGGTTTTCGGCAGCAAATAACAATATATATATTATATATGTAGTTATACACATATGGCTGTGTGTGTTTGTTGTAAAAAAGGACACAAAAGCGTGGCATACAAGCGATAATCGAAAACTAGCCGAACTAAAAATATTTGTCGAAAGGATTTCACTGCTGAACCGCAGTCAAGCGACTGTGTGTGTGTCTATGTGTACGTATGTGTACGTCAGGGTGTTTGTGTGAACGCCAAATATTTAGCTCGCGTGCGGCTGTCGATTTTTCGGCCAACATGCAGGCTAACCATTTAACAGTTAGTAAGCAAACTGGGGGAAGGACACTGCAATTTTATTTTATGTTTTTGTTTTTTGCTTTTCGTTTTATATAATAGGAAAACATCAAACAATGGAATTGGACATATGTAGTAACCAATTGAATGGATAGTGCTGATGGTTTTGTTTTTGTTATTGTTGGTGGCTTGAACCGCTGTAGCGCTTGACACCAACTTGTGTTTTTATAATTGTAAAGGGTGGCGAGAAAATGTAAAAGTTTATACATGTAGCTCTATGTTGGCGAATTGATTTCAAAAAGTTCTCTATAACGGCAAACAATTTTGAGTTGGTTAGAAAATATATCGGATAGCTTGCACACTAGGTTTAGCTGATTTGTAGCAGCCTTATTAACTGTAGCAGAAATTTATTATATATTTACGAATTCGCCAGCTCTCATTAGAGTATATACGAGTATAATTATATTTCTATTACCCTCTAACATAAATTTAAAAAAATATATATATAAAGAAGAACAAAGAGTCTTTTGATTAATTTCGCAACAATATTATTTCTTAAATAAAAAAAAAGTATGCTACTTGATCGCAGCATGTTTGCAACTTCTTTTGATGTTTCACACTATTATAGCAACCATTTAGCCAACACGGCGTATACGTGACATGAATTTGGCGAACAACGCTCACTATTAAACAACAGCGCTAGCACAAAAAAACACAAAAAGCTTTGCTTGCAACTACTTTTGCGTGTCTGCGCTAATGACTTATATCGTTTACACTATCTTTCGTGTCGCACACGCTTCCCCGCACGGCGCACATTCAACTTTAAATGAATGCTTACATGTCTGCCTGTCTGCAGCTGTGCTATACATATGCTGAGAAATTATCTAAATTTATTACTATTTCTTTTCTTCCACCTCTCTTGCAGTTTTCAAGTTGTGAACTCACCTTCATTAACACCGATTCGCTGAGCTTCTCGCGATTGATTATTTTAATGGCCACCTTACGACCGAGCACACAGTGTACGCCCAACTTAACCAAGCCTAGAAAGAAAGCAATAAACAAGATATAGATAAATTTGCATATATATATATATATATATATATATATGTGTGGACTTAAGTGCGAGTATAAAGAAAGTGAAGTGCTCGATTTGAAGAAAAATCGAAATATATTCGTGGCTTGTTTATCAAAATGTCACACAAACACACACATACGCACTTGAACATTGTATTGTGGGCAAACCGAATTTATGCAGCAACAACAAACAATTTTTGCCACAATTTTTCAAATACCCGAGCAAACACCAATTCCACACATACGCCGCTGTCTGCGAAGCTCATTACACAAGCAATTTGCATTCAATGCGCAAGCAGAGTAGCTTGTCCGAAATTGGCATGGTGCTGGGTATTTTTACAGTTCACCGCATAAGTGTTTGCATATGTGTATATTTGTGTGTATTCTTGGATATACATATCCAGAAAAACTTTAGCCTAGCTACACACTCTCCCTGCTTGCTGCACTTTTTAGCGCTAATTTTGTTTACGCTCACTTTTTATACCCTGCAGTTGTCGCGAACTAGTACCTCGGTTTTTGAGATATTGATATGAAATTTTGCACACCGCCTTTTCTCAATATGAAGCTGATCATTTGTCGGAACCGCTGCTAACGGACCACTATAACATATAGCTGCCATACAAACTGACCGATCAAAATCAGATACTTTTATGGACAACTTTTTTACTAAACCTGATATCTTCACGAAATTAAAGATGGAACAATAATCTAAGGCAACGGTAGAATCTCCGAAAAACTTATTTAGCTCGGACCACTATAGCATATGGCTGCCATACAAACTGACCGATAAAATTTAAGTCTTTGTATAGGAAACTTTTTTACATACAAACTGTGCGATAAAAATCAAGTGTTTGTATGGAAAGTTTTTTATTTGTGAAGCTTATTATAGCTTCTTTGCAACCGAAACTAACGTTTGCTCTTATTTTTTCTTTATTTGTACGTTCGTTTTGTTTTTTTGGTTTTTTTTTTTTGTTTTTTTGTCAATGAACTCACCCGTCTGTCCTTTGCCCAGCGTCTTCTCCAGACGATATGGCCCCACAAATTGGCAATTTTCCGCTGACGTATTATTTTCCTTCTGCATCTTGTTAGCGTTGCTTGCTGTTGTTGTTGCTGCTGCTGCTGCTGCTCTGCACAGTAAACCAGTTTTCGCTGTTGTTCTTGTTGTTTTTGTTGCTTTTGTGTTCGCTTATGCCGCTTCACTGCTGCTGCTTCTACTACACTACTACAAACACAACGATACGCTGCAAGTTCCATACACACACTTATACACTCCCAGACACACCGAAAACTACTGCAGCAACTTCTTCAAACACTATAGGCTCTTTCGAAGCACGTTAGCCGTCCTCTAGCGGCTGGTTTCTAGCGCTTTCAGCAAACTCAATGCTTTTCAAAAGTTTGCTAAAACTTTTTTGTTTTTATTTTTTTATTTTTTGTTTCTTTATTTTTTGGTTTTGAGTTGTATTTATTTCGCTTTTAAGCAAACACTTCTTCGCCTGTGTTCGCTTGTATGTTCCTATGTATGTATATGTGGGTCGTATGTGTGGGCGGTCCGTTTGCGTTGGCGCAGCTGCAGCATAAACACCAACGCTGTAGTTATGTGGGTTAAAGTTCGTTTTTAATTACTTTTTCACTGCAACGCTGATGGCTGTTGTTGCTGTTGTTGTTGTTGTGGATATTGCATATCGTTGGCGCTTTATTGGCTTTTCCTCTTGCGCTTCCGTACTTACAGTTATACAGCAATTGCATTTGTTTTCATCACTTCTTTGAATTCTCGCTTTAGTTGCTGCAGCGTCGAGCGTTCGCAATCGCTGCATTAATTGGTTTTGCGAAAAAAAATTGCTCTCGAATAAAGACTGATTTCGACGCTTTTCATCTCCCCGTTTTCGTTGTTTTATCTGCAAAGTAGAATTGAAAAATAGTTATTGATTAACCAAATGGTACAGTGTGTGTACTGTGAGCTTGTTAATTTGATTTTGTGGGGTCGTGAGCGGTTTTATATTTTTTGGTATGAATATAGATATTTTTTATGGTTTTTCGTTTGAAATTTTCTTTTTATAAAACTACAACTACACATCTACGATTTTCTGCCCAAGCCTTTTCAGTTATAAAATTTTGGTCGACAATTGTTGGAGTCATAAAAAATCTGAGTTATCGATTACATTTTTTCCTTTTTTAGCTTAGATACAAGTTCCACAGTCCAGCACAAAACGCTGCATAGCGGTGGCTCAGAGCCATGGTCGCATTTGAAAAGTATGCCGTCATTTCCCTGAAAAACGACTGCTGTCGATTAAGCCTATGTGAGTCTATAGTGATCTAAAAAATTTAAGTCCAAAGTTTAAATCAGTAGGTGGCGCTGTGGGCGGCATTTACGTGCAGTTTAATTTTTACATATGGCTTACAACTGAAACGTACTTAGTAATACAGAGGAATGTATTGCGTATTAAAAAATTATTTGATGATTTTGTACGCTATAATATACAAAAGAAAAATATTATATATTTAAAAAACAAAAACAACAAAAAATATCGGCCATTTCGACAAATGAGCAGCTTTTTGGTGAGAAAAGGACGAATGCCAAATTTCAGATCGATATCGCAGAAACTGAGGGACTAGTTCTTATATATACAGATGGACGGACAGACAAAGGGACATGGCTAAATCGACTCCACTCGCCATGTTGATCATTTAAACATACTTAGAAACTTCATGGCAAACTTTGTATACCCTGTTCTGGGTATAAATATCTTGCAATGTCGTTCTTAAAAAATATTTCTTTTGAAAATTACATCATTTGCCTGAATTCCCACACTCAATTAAATCCACCGAATTACAATCAAAGCAAAAAAAAAAACAAAAAACAAATGAAAATAATTATAAATGAGCATGCAGAGTGTCAAAACCGTATAATGAATGGCCTTTTTTAATAAATTTAATTAACCGAATTTAATGTGGGACGCCAAATGAACAAGGCCACAAGGAAAGCTATCGAAAATGCGCTAAAACGCTGCAAAAGCTTAAGTGTCTGCTTAAACGATTGGAAGATAAATCAAATACGAATGCAGCAAAGTGAGCTGCCAAGCCAACAAGCGGGCAAAAAATACAGCAGGGATTTTGCAAGAAGGACAAAGGAGCATCAAGACGGTATTTTATTTTCATAGAGATTCACTCAACACATGCGCGATTTATACATGTATATGTGTGAGTTATGAGAAACGAGGCGAAGCATAATGATGGCAACGAAATCTGTATGGAAAAACAGCACAAAGCGACGAGTAGCAAATTTAAGATGACGTAGACTTTAAGAAGTTGTGCACAAGTGCGACACAAGTGGCGATAACGGTGAATAAAGAAGCACAAGTGCCAGAAGTGCCCGAGTAGATACCGAAATTGTGTATGGAAATTCACATAATGGCAGAAATTTCGTTTATGAGTAGTAAATAAAAAATGCTTACGTGTGTGTGTATGTGTGTGCTTGTTAGTGAGCTGGCGACCATGCGTATGTATAAGTGTTGCTATTTGTTGGCGCAACTACTTGAAAGAAAGTCAATTTGCGTATATGGAGCAACTAGGTCGCATGTCATAAACATAAGCACACAAACACATACAGGCACACATACACGAGCATACAAACAATTGTAATATATTTATTGTGAGTATATATAAATTCCTTCCACCTCACCAAGCATGTGAGCAGACGCTGACGGCGCACTTCAGCGGAAGGAAGTTGCCAATGGCGGAAGGAAGGCGAAACGTAGCGGTGGTACCTAAAGGCGAGGTGACGGAAATTCGACCGGAAAGGCGGAAATAAGAAAGCAGCGCTACGCTGGGAAAAATTAAAAAATACATGCGTGTTTATGTGTGTGCGTGTATACGGTAAATTGAGAGCGAAAATACTGCATACATTAACTGCCAATGAAGGAGTGAAAAATGTAAATTATTGTGGAAGGAGTTGAATGCAGCAATTAAGTTTTGGCGGTGAAAAATTATAGCAAGACAAGTGTGTGGTTGGTTGAAAATTAAAAGAATGTTGGCGTAATTGAAAGATAACTATCGGTTGTGTGGATAAGAAAGAAAGAGTTTATGGAAAGGCGGATTAATTTGTATTTAAAGGAAGTAGTATGTGTGCTAGTAAGCTCAATTAATGTGCTTTTGTGTATGAGTATGCAAATCAATATGGATAATCAATATCATATGGTCCGTTGCTTTGGAAAATTAATGTCAAATTTCGTCAAGATATCTTTACAAAAAAAAAAATTTTCCGTACCAGAACTTGATTTTGACCGTTCATTTTTTATGGCAGCTATATGTTAGAGTGAACCGATATCAGCGAATTCAACAAAATAGCAGTGTACAAAATTTCAGATTGTTATCTCAAAAACTGTGGGACTATTTGCGTATATACAGACAGACAGACGGCAATCGACTCAGCACGCCACGCTGATCATTTATGTATATATATTTATAGGGTCTTAGCCGTTAACTTCCAGGTGTTACAAACCTTCTAGCAAACTTAATATTCCTTGTTCAGTCTATAAAAATTAATTTACTTGCATCAACACCTCAACATTTGCCGCCAACTTCAGTGCAAGAAGTTCTAAAGTGCTGCTTAGTTTTGAAATATTCCAACATTATCTTGTTAAGAACATATCAACATTAACCAAACATACAAATTCTTATGCCGGTCGCTTCACTTCAAAAAGAGAAAAATCAGCAAACAAACGGAATTGCATATTATTAAAAACACCAAAGCAACACACCGCTATCAGCAGTGCAATCAGCGCATAACACGAGAACCAACTCAGCAAACGGCAATCCGACTGAAAAATGAAAAATGTGTTGAGCGCCTAAAACGATGCTTTGAAAAATGTGAAACGGCACATGTGTACAGAAACACTTACACGACTACAACATGAAGCTCGTGCGCTGTGGTTAGCTTTGAAAATATACTCGTACGCCGCAACGGCACATTCACAATAATAAGTACCTGCCTGCCACACCCCTTTCAACACCATCGCAACGCCGTCGAGTGCGAGCCACACACTGCACATGACATTCAGCAATTTACAACACAGTAGCAACAACAACAACAGTAAGGGTAACGTTAGTGGCAGTGGCAGCATGCCACAAACATTGAAAAGGCAAAATTTCCATTTTCCATTTAGTTAGCTTTAAATGTAAACAGCAACAAAGTAGGCAAGGCTTTGCGTGAGAAAGGAATAAGGACATGCCAGCGCACAACAAGCGAACGCATACATGCATATACACGACTATATGTGTATGTGTGTGTATTAAGACAAAGGCGCATGTATGTGCGCTGCATAAATGATGGCGGCTGGTTTGTTGCGAAATTCTCGAAAATTTTCTCAATGCGTAGAAAAGCAAAAGTAAACAACAAAAATGAGCACAAGCAAGCGAGCAGCGATGCAGGCAGCGACGCGCTGACCAGAGGCAGGCGCATAAAATTTTTAATGAAAGAAATTGAGGCAAGTAGACTAAAAGGCTGTGACTGTGGCAGCAACAACAGCAGCAACAGAAGCATTGGCTGCAACAACAACAACAAACAGCAATAACAACGGCAACAGCAACAACGACGACAACAGCAGTGACGTCCGCAGCGACGCCGGCACAGTGCGGAAGCAAGCCATTACGATTTATGCGAGTCAAGGCAAGTTACTTACGCTCTCGTTTTGCGTAATTTTTCTTTTATCGCTGGCAATCGCCATGCCTTCCCTCCCTTGCAACGTACCAATGCATACTCTAGCACATGCCGTTGCATGTGCGCTGACCTCTTTAAACACATTAATAAGCCATTTTGTTCTAATAAATATGCAGTGCTTTATGGTAGGCCAAGCGAGTAAAACATGTGCAATTTTTCTTTTTTCAAGCTTCAGCTTTTTGCATGAATTTCAAATTACGAGTTATGTTTATTTGTAGGTGTATAAGTGCCACCATATATGGTATTATATAGCAGGCAGCATATGTGTGTACTCATGTAATTAAAATGTTTTAAATGCAATTAAATTGTGCGTGAATACTTTTAAGTGTGGCGAGCGTACAGTATGCGCTATACTCTGCACTATTAATTGATGCAATTAGACACACACACACAGTTTAGCGAGGGTAATACGACCACAAATGCTGCGCTTTTTGATAAACTATTTTGTATAATTGTTATGGACTCTTTAATGACAATTGCTTGTGTTGGAAATTGTTTTTATTGAGCTTCAATAATGCGTGCAGAGTTTTTACTATGATAGCAAATACAAATAGATTGTTTAAAATACACTTTTTGCTCTGATGTGCTGATTTTTATAGTATTAAGTGAATCTATATAATTTATTACTAGCACAAAACTACGACGGTAAAAACATTTTTCCAAATAGTCAATAATACCGACAGCTCAAATGCATTGAATGCACTGCTGTCACTCGAAAAAATATAAATTAATATCTCGATTACTATAAAACTTAAACTATACTATGCATATTATAGGTAAAAACTGTTTAAAATACCGCAGTTTTCCTTTGGCAACCAACTATATTGTATATTTTATGTGAGAAAAATTCAATCAAATATCACTACGTCACTTTTTGACAGCTTAGAACTAAAGTAGACACCACAAATAGTATACAAAATGAATATTTCAAATCGTTTTGGTTGCCTTTATTTTAGTGGCTTGTCAAAAAATGTAACAGCCTCAATCTAGTACTACTAACTAAACAAACATAACACATATATATTTGTTATTATTATGCTGAAAACCCATTACACCAGAATCACTAGAAACTACCACACTACTTTCATATCAAATTTAAACATCTTAGCATTTATAAAAATAAAATAAAACAGCTTTCAAATAGTCACTCACGTATACAACAACTGAGCTTCAATCGTA